CTAATAATAGACGATAACAGTGTGTAAGTTTCTGACCGAAAATAACATGAGAACACCTCCACAGAGAACTTGAACGATACCATCGGTGTGATTGATTTAATTACACAGACGACTAAGCTAATAAACTATAGTTACAAAACAGCCCTGTTGATGCATGTAGCAGCCATATTGGATTTGAACTTGGGTTATTGAAGTTTCTCAGTTTCCGGTCCTGATGACGTATCAGACGGAATTTCTGACTTCTGAGATCAAATGGAGCGCAGCATAAAATTATCCAGTTTGAAGAACAGTTTAGTGTCGTACAGAGGTGACCTGGATACCGTCTTAAATGTATGCTTTATCAAAGAATAACAACCAGATACATTCTTGAGTACAGTTTTATTTAAAAAGTCTGCTTCTATGTGCTTTGAGCAAATGTCTTTAGTGGATTATGAACATGACTTGACACAGGGCCCCATTAGGACCATTTGACATTTCATAACATGATTAAAACATAGTAAAAAATATTTAAAAAATACAAACTGAGTATATCAAATGTCGACATATTTACAGTCTTGGAATACAGGAGCTGAAAAGTTTCACAAGTAAGAAAAGACAAGCCATGTACTGGATGTGCACAGTCAAATAAATCTATAGTGATTGTACCATCCTATAATCCAGAGCTGCAGGTGGCTCAAGTTCACATGCCGGTCTTTAACAGTTGTGGTCCACTCTGATGCTTGCTACTGCATGCTTTGATAAGTAGGAACAACAAGGCGATGATTAAAACAGTTACATGATGCTTTGTTAATTAAAGAGTGTACAACCTAAAGTGCCTCAACTAATAGAAGTGGTAATTAAACGATTCAGAAATGATTTACTGGTACATGATACATCATGTTGGTTAAAGGCTGCTCCAACATTTTTCTAAATAAATCCATAAAGAGTGGCACAGCTGTATAAGAAGTTGAATTTGATGTTCAATTCCTCCAGATTTGTAGATCCACCAGCTCACCGAAGAATAGGAGCTCTAGCCTTGGGTATGGAGTGACTAAAGATAGAAACACAATGTCAGGATTAATAATAGGGTATTGATTACATTTCCACAATTCAATGAAGTGAAACCGTTTAAATCAAGTAAATGCAACAGAAAGGGAAGTGAAGATAGGTACCATAGCCTGGAAAATCGAAGTGAATGCAAAGAGCTGCGAGCTTTACGTCCTTTGGAGACGGTGCGTCTGTTGCATGTAAGAAATATGAAACGAGAAGGAAACGGAAAGCAGACAAAATGTTACTATTGGCTCCAGCAATGACTGCAGACACGCCCACAGAGTGGAGATGACAGGCCAGAGGCAGAAGACACAGCGAGCAGCAGCAGCAGAGTCCAGAGAAGCTATAGTCAGTCATATTTAGAAACCCTCGGTTATTAAGAGACCATGCAGGGGAAAGCTAACGAAAGAAGTGGCTCGGAAACAAATGGCGATGGATTTCCATTCCACCATCGCACATAATTAGGCTCAGATTTATAACATGTTAGTTCTGGAGAATGTTAGACAGGTTCATATCATGTTAATACAAGTTGGCTGGGTTGCATCATCAGGACTTCTTGAGGATTGCAAACTACCATTTTAGCCAAGAACATTTTAAATTAACTATGTTGGGTGATTAAAGGTCACATATTATGAAAAATACACTTAAGCATGTTTTTCGAACACCAATATGTGTCGCTAGTCTGTCTACAATTATGAGAAAAGTCCATCCTCTCCGTCTTTTTCCTCCGTCACTTTTCAGAAAATGTGTGCTCAAACTGGCCGTTTTGGAGTTTTTCCCTTCATGACATCACAAAGGGCAGTAACCCCTCCACCCATGCTCTTCCAGAGAGGGGGCGTGGTTTACATTTAAAGCTACAGACACAGAAACAGTCTGTTCTGAGCAGGGCTGAAATAGAGGGGTTTTACTCCCCTTAACTTTTAATACACTGCCCTTCAACCATGTCACAAAGTACTCAAGTGCTAAATCCTAATGGTTTAAAATGTGATTTAAATTGAATCTTTCCAGTTCGTTACTTTTTAAAACATGATTTAAGGTAATTTGTCCATAAGCCAAAATTTAAATTGTTAAACATTTGATCCATGTTGATGCATCCCAGTCTAATAAAGTGATGATAAAATAAAGTGTGTCGAGTGTAAAAGAAAGAGAAAGAAGAGTGCTGAGCCTCTGGACTTTGACTGGATATACACAGGCACCAATGAAATGATTTTTAACACTGATTTGATTATTCTTAATGCTGACAAAACTTAAGGGAAACCATTAAAATATTGACTTTCCTTGTTTGGACAGCATAGAGAACATCTCCTCTCAGTAAAAAAAAAAAAGGTTTCTTTTTGTGTGCACATGCAGCTCCAGTCTCCATACGGCTCAGAGTGAGTCTGAGGGAGCTTGCCTGCAGGTGGACCTGTGCCATGTTTAAGTTGATGAGAGGGCTTGTGTTGGCTGTGGCACTGGCTGTGTCTCTATGGCTGCCACATGGCTCACAACACATTGGATCCCTGTCGCCAGCCACTACATGCAAGTTTCCTAGAGACCTGACCAGTCTGCTGTGGCACAGGGAGCTGGCAGAGAGAAGGGAAGCTGTTAATTAACTCCACAAGGATCCGTGAGTGGCTATAGCCTCTTGGCTGCTGTCAACTGTGTCATCTCCACATTAAAACGCTCAAAACACAGAAGTCCACATATTGCTTTAACACAACAAGGTTCCATAATGATAGATGTCACAATTCCAAATGTATGGAATAAGGATGAGCGTGATAATAAGTCAACTTAAACATCAAACGTTGTATTCGCCAGGTATGCTTACACACACAAGGAATTTGACTTAAGTGAACTGTGCTCTCTATGTACAAAAAGGACAACATTAAGTATCAACAATAAACACAACATAAGCAAAGACTAACAAGGCTAAATGAGACAACAGTGCAGTGGTGGCTAGTGCAAAAATGCTGAGATAAACATGACAATATATGGATATATATAATGTATGAGGTAGAGAGTTTATACAATATTTATATTAGGCAGTGTGCATAGATTGATACAGAGGAGGATAGTAATACAGAATCAGAACCTTGAACTTGACAATTTAAAACTAGTTACTAGTATTTTGTTTAACATTGGCTGCAATGTCCCCTAATGTTGAGAAAAAGGCATCTGAAATCTATTTGGGTGAACATGATTCCCCCTTTTATATCCTCCTAACGTTATTCTGCACTATCATTCAGTGAATGTGTCCGTCAGAGTCAAATCCAACAACTGACCTTCCTCCTACTCCTCTGGCTGGCAGGGAGGTTCTGCTCCTCTTCCTGCTGTCTGAGTGGTCAGAGAGAGCCAGAGGGGTGATGCCGGCATTGCAGCCCTGAACGCTGGCCTGCAGGATGGCCGTGCTGCAACTGAAACACAGCATCAGTTAGTCACAATCATGTGCAACGCCGGAGTTCAAGTAGAAATGTTGTGTGACACAGGCAAATTTACCTCAGGGACTGAGAAGATGACCTGGTGTGAATTTTATTCTCTTCTTGTCTATGAAACACAAAGAATGTGACGGTGAAATATGTGCTGGAACTGTACAGAATGAGAGATCTGCAGAGAGCTGACAGGACAGAGTGGAGGCAGAGATGTATGGAGATGGGCTATTTATTCCTCGTAGTGTTATTCTTGTGCACAGATTATTGCAGCGTCAGCAGACGGGTAGGATTAGTTAATTGCCAGATAAAGCCACAGGGTGGCACTATATGTAAGCAGGATTATATTAGCTTTTACATAAGATTATCTTTTACATCGAAAAAAGGGAGCAACAGTCTGGTACAGTTACATTTTGACAGTCACAACCACAATAACAAGCAAAGCACAGTGTTCAAAGATGACATGATGGTGGGAACAGAAAGACAAATCAGTGTACACACTAGACAACATGGGGACATGGACAAGGTGGCTGGCTCTTCTCATCAGCTTGAAGTTGACTGTGCTTACAGAAAGGACAAAATACTAAGATTTGATGTTTGAAGAGATTTCTGATTAGGGTTGGGGATTGAGAAAAAAAAAAGAGACTGGGGGCTCACTTACAGTATTCTCAGTTAGAGCTCCAGAAGGGGGGCAGGACAGGTTTTTGGGGGGGCTGACGGGTGGTAGAGCTCACTGAAATCCTAACCCGTCTATACAGAAATGCAGGATGGAAGAAGGGAAGCCATACACAATCCACCACAGGGCAAGGCTACACAGGGAGGAGAGCAGCATGGCTACCAGCCATCTGAAAGGAGGACAAATCCAACAACAAGAGCAAACGGAAAAAAAAGGGGGAAACTAGAAAGAAGAGACAAGAGACATCCAGGCAGGACACAAAGCCTCTGATGTTCTGCTTTTCCACTGGGACTGGATTAGATGAAATACCTTTCAGAGAGCGCCAGTCAGCAGGTTTTTGTCCTTCACTGGCTCTGATGTGTTAGCACTTTGCTCTATACTTAGAGCCCGACCGATGTGGGACTTTTGAAGTGTGTATTTAGGTATGAGGGTTAAAAAGGGGCCTAAAATATACAAGCTCATATTTCATTTTTACACAAAATGTCAAGAAAATGATGATAAAGAATAAAGTGCACAGTGTGGCAGGTGTTCTTATGGCTGGCAAAAAACTTAGGCTGATAACTAAAGTAGAAATAGGATAGCATTGCATGATCAATACTTATAGTTACTAGAGTCGACCGATTCATCGGCCGGCCGATAATACCAGTCGATAATAGTAATTGTAATAAAATCACATACTATTGATATCAGCTTGTTTTTATCTTGGATATAACTAGGTTTATTCAATTTAAGTGTATCATTCATTTTTAGACACTACGTTTGTATAATTGTTAATTTCTAAGTAAAAATTGTATTTCAGAGCACTGTTGTTATTCTGGCCAATAAAGGCTTTCTTTCAACTGTAAAAAAAAAACAAATAAAAGATTTAAAATCTAAGAAAGATATTGGCATTTTTACTTCTAATATCGGTATAGGCCCCAAAAATCCTATATACGTTGGGCCCTAATATTTTCTGAAATTAGAATAAGAAATACCCTAATAAATGAACGCAATATTGTAAAATAAACTGTATTTATTTGTCAAACAGAAAATGACCACTCCATTTTGATGTAAAATAAACAGTTTACGGTCTGTATAACTGCCAAAACATTAATCATAGCTGTATATGTGGTGAGTTGTTGATACAAGCCAGCCAATTGTAATCAAGCTCTAATATTAGGTTCACAAATAACGTAAAAGACTTCAAATATTTTGTAAGTAACCTGAGCTCAGATGGTATTTGTGTCCTGATCCAGTCACAGAAAGCAATGGAAAAACAAACGGCAATGAACCCCTGGCCAACATTAACAACATGTTAGACACAAACAACGATCAGACACAGAGGCATGTCCATGCGAGCATGTCAATGTGAAAGGGTTTCATGCCTGTTGCCATGCATGAAAAGATGAAGGTGAACTTTTCCTCCTATGTAATCCAACCTGAAAGTCAACATGCGCAACATCTGTATTACAAACTAAAACAAACTGTGTTGCCAGATGAAGTTCAGCTGCTAGTTGAACGTTTGTTATAGCAATACATTAACTGATAAGGCTTCAGATGCAGCTAAATCTCCTTTCTGCCTAAACTCTCTCATGAGAACAAAAAGAACACATTTTCATCCCAAAAGCCTCACAGAAGCTCACATATGATGTTTTAGAATCCTTTTGTTGCAGTCCAGATTAGGGTTATCACAATACCAAAGTTTTAAACTTAAATAGGATACCAGCAAAATCTAACTATATGGATTCCTGTTTTAATACAACAGTAACAAAAAATAGAAGCCCTAGGCTCCCAGTATTGGGAAAGTTCTTGATTTTAAGTTACCCCAAAAAATGCAAGCAAACTCCTGCACACTGTCTTAATTATACAAATACATTGGCAACGTTTCTGAACCTCTCTACGTTTGTTATGGGAAACATTAATGTAACGTTTGCATCTTTATGATATGCCAAAAGAAGAAATATCAGTATGTGATTTTTAACACACCACTGCTGCTCGCTCTCTTTCACGTGAGGCAGCTTCGAGTTAAAATATGACTCAAGTCCATTTTTTTTTATTACAACTTTGATCATTTTTTGATACTATTGACCATAAAATAACTGAGATTGTATCATTTTAAAACACAGTATCAAAAAGTATCAAAGGATAACAACTGGTCAAGATATTGATTGATCTAATATCCAAACAATACTCTTTAAAGCTGCTAATTAAACTAATAAAAACATCTCAGTCAAAGATCAGTCTTACATTTAAGCACAATTGGCAAAAGTGGTCGAGCAGGCAAGATCAAAACCAGGTTCAAAGTTTCTCTAACTTACTTATTTTATACGTGCAAAATCATTAGTGCAAGCCAAGCACTAAAACATAAAATTCAACTAACCAGCTCTCACATGAAACTGTGATTAGTTGAATATTTGTTGCTCTTTTTTTTCACATGTGCAGTAGGCGTCACTGTAAGTCAGAGGATATCTCAGATAAGCCTCGATATCCAAGCAGAACAGCTCAGTGAGGCCATGAGAGGCAGATAATGAAAGGCGTGTCGAATGTACTGCATCCATTAAATGCATATCCACTTCACACCAGAGTCATCCAAGGGAAGAAATAAAGAAAAAAAAATCAAGTCAGCCATACCATTCTCTGGCATAGCAACCATTATCTACAGGAAGAGGATGTCAGCTAGAAAAGGAAGTGATGTGCACTTACCTCCATCATACAAAACCTCACATCCTCTCCCACTCTCTCTTTTCTGCTATCTTTTGAACGGCAGGCAACACATCGGCCACACCGTGCCCATGAGGCTGCAGCAGAACGCTACCACCTGCCTGACATGGGACAACAAAAGCCAAAGCCATATGGGTACATTTGGCAGAGGCCGGTCGACCATCCTCAGCCATGCTGACACATGGGCACTAAGGCGGTGGACTTTGTAAGTGTAGGGAACAACAGGGCTCAAATGAGATCTGAGATAAGTTTAAAAACAACAACACAGAAGCAAAAAGATAGGGCTAATCCCGTGTTTCGGTTGTCTGGCTGTACTCTAATGCTTGTTCCATACAAAAATATACTTCAAGTAAAGTCTTAATTTGAATGATTGTTTGCAGCAGGGTTTCCCAATTTATCTTACTGGCAACTGAATTAGACTTTGAGTGTTGCAGATGAAGTCTAGACAGGTTTTTTTTCTGCAACACTTCTTTAAGATAGATGGGTTTGACGTTAGAATATGCTTGCCAAAGAAATTGTGTAATTTCATTCATTATAGTGTATCCATTCATTTACATGCTTCAACATTATTTATGCATCAGTTCTGAGTTTTGAAAACTATGGTCCCTTATTTATTTATGTATTTTTAAACATAGCTATCCTTGAATAATGTTTAACTCTTGTCACATCGTTGGGTAGAAATCCCTGGACTGCATTTATTCACAGTCCAGAATTAACTCTGTGCAAGTTTCCTACTGCTACAACATCAATGTCAGATCAGATACGAGACTTTTTCCTCATATTCAAGATCAGAACTTTGCATGATGTGCTATGGGAACTGTAGTCTTCCAACTATTAGAGACTCATGTGCACACTTGTGTGCCTATGATTTATGTCAAGCTCAAAACATGCTGATCTAATTTGTTTACTAAATGTTTCATGTATCCACTGTGAAGACTTTTATTGAATGAACGACTGACCCGTTTATTTCGAGGTCATTGTGACAGGATGCTCTGGTGACTAGCACACTCTACATTCATTTGGCCTTTTTATCCTAACCCCCTCAATTGTCTTGTTACTGAACTGCAAATGTACATATGACAAATTCTGCAGGAATAAATGAGTTTATCTTATACTTCCACATCCTTGTGCCTTTATCCAGCCCAAAACAACAACAAATCTGTAGGAAGACTGTGTCAGATAACTCTACTCCAGTACTCCAAACAACTTAGCCACCCACTCCTTGTCTCGGTATTGACCTTCCTTTGCTCATTGTGCATTCTCATAATCCCCGTTTACAGGAAAAACTGGATGAAAACTTATCCTACTAAAAGAAGTTTACATTAAAAAGCCCAGAGGAAACAAAACCTGAGTGGTAAAGATATTACAGGACTACTGCCTGGTGCATAAACTCAGAGATAAGGTATGATATTAGGATGAAATTGCCAAAGTATTTGTAAAAGAAAGCAGCACGTATATATTAACCATGACTAAAACCTGACACAGAAACAAAGCTGACTACTCTGAGCAAACACGGATAAAGTAGAGGCTCATCTCATGAAACTGATGAGTGTCTTAAATAAATCTGACAAAAGTCATGTCCTGATCACAATGATCACAACATTTTTCAAATCACAACTCATTCATGATTTGAAAACAGTATGTTATTATCATGTGTGTAATGAGCCACATTTTACAGAGGAGCTAGAACACGTTGGTGATTCTCATGATGAGACGAGCAGGCGGCCCCGGTACTTACGACAGTGAACCTGAGGACGATCTGGACTGTCTCTTGCTCTTCAGCGCTCGCAGCTTATCACCCTGTGTTAGACCGTTTCTCTCGTCTTCATCGTTGTACTGTGAAGAAAACCAACACAGAGCAATGAAAAGATGGAGATCTGAGGAGTGCTCTCCCAAATCATGCAGCAAATTCTGTACGTGAACAACAGGACAGGTATTATTTTAAACACTCACCAGCTCCATGTCTTCCTTCTTGGATGCTCGGTTCTTGTTGCTCCCGTTGATGGTGATGTCGTCCACTCCGGACAGGATCCTGGTCACAGCCATCTTGCCATTCTCCCGTTCGTTTAGCATCTTCTCCCGGAAAACATCTCCCTCTGCCCACAGGCTGTTCTGTTTTCTGATGTCCAACATTTTGACGGAACACAAACTGTTATTATTGAAACATCTCGGCAGATCTGTGCTCAAATGACGATTTTGGACCAACATTCCTGCAATTTAACGATCTGTTTTTAAACACACTGAAGCCCTGTTTGTTTATCTACTTACTAAAGTGATGGTTTATATAATACATCATGCATAATGTCTCTTTCCTTACAGGTCTTGTAAAAGTAATGACACATATTATTGCACCAATGAAAATTTAGCATCATTTAAATATTTATGACAGCAAATGCTTCATGCAGCCAGCCAGCCCCGTCAATCATATCACATCCACATTTGAAGCTCAGATAAAGCAGATTAGCTGCGTGTCATAACTTTGACTGCTGTCATGGCTTTTAAAAAATAAAAATAAAACATTATTTAGAAATACTTTAAAATCAGTTATATTTGGGGATTTCTGCTGCAGTGAACACTTACGCTTCAACAAAGTTCTGCTGAGGTCCAATGACCGACCCTGGTCTGCAGATCCGTATCCAAGCAATGACCTCTGCAGCTGTCATGCGGTAATGTTTCATCATGTAGCAGCCGATCAGAGTGCCAGTCCTCCCAAGGCCAGCTAAAAAAAAAAAAAAGATATATTGCAAAAAAAAATTGAGCAATAAACAGGATTTCTTTTTTAGTTCAATTTCATCAATCACAATAAACCAAAATAGATTAAACCAATCACGTCCCTTGCAGCGTGAATGTGGCTCAGAACTCCTACCTTTGCAGTGGACAGCGATGGCTCCTTCTGCGTTCTCACAGATGTTGAGGAACTTCCTGACGATGGAGTCGTTTGGCGTACTCCCGTCCACAAAGAACAGATCGTGATGCTCAAAGCCAGACTCTGTGAACCGCCTGGCATCGTACATCTTCTTGTTGAGTCTGATGACGGCTGTGATGTTGTGATTCCTGAAGTATGGGATGTAAGCCTCGGGAGCGTGCAAAGGATAGCCTGAGGTAAGAGTGAAAACAGCCTTTGTGAATCTAGTAGTTTAAAAAAAAAAAACAGGAGGTACTGGTAAGATTTTTAAAGTGTTTTAGACATGTGCATATCACTAACCGTTCTCTATTTTGCTTTTCGGATGAGGCCCACTGAATGCAAGGAACTTTCCTGGAATGATCCAGTTGAAGTCTCCATTTTCAGCCCTCTCGTAGTGCTCGTATTCCTCCACATCAAAGTTAGTGAAGTCGAGCCAGCTGTACTGCAGAGCCTGGTAGATGTTTGACAGGGAGTTCATTCTATTAGGTGACCCAGCAAGAATGCAAATAAATAAAGCTTGTATTTACGTACCTTGTGAACAGCACGGAGGCAATCCAGGATGTTCAGATTGTACATGCAGGTTCCAAACGAAGCGTCTCTGAAACATAAAACACACCGACGGTCATTATTGGCAAAAGAGCACAACAGAGGATCACTGTTTTACTAACAACATTTGTCTGTAGGGGGGAAACTGATATCTCACATACACATTGCTGTTTTGCACCCATCTCTGTCCAACTATCATCACAACACTTGTTCACTATTTTAGAGTAAAAACAAAAACTTGATAGGATGCAGGGACCATGAGCCTCCTGGCTCAGCTGCCCCTGTACAGCTTTCCTAATGTGTAAAAAAAAAGTTTCAAATGAAATTCTTTGCAGCGTTTTAGAAAATGCAAATAGTTTGACACATTTTTTTCTTTTTTCAAAACAAATGCTCTTCAATAGAAAACGATAAATATTTGACTGTAAACTTGTCTCACACTACCGTAGAACAAATTGATGCACTCATTAGAGTCCTCAAAGGCAGGATGAATTATAATTGATATATTTATTTAAATACGCAAAGACTTGTGATACTCTGCACAGTAACCAAAGTATTGTCTGGGATCATTTTCATATTTCTAGATGGCTGTAAAATCCAGATTGATTTGTTTTAGACATGTTTGTGAAGATTAAACGGACCAGTTTCCTCTGTGAGTGATTGTAAGTGGTAATTTACTTGGCAGTATGCATCCAGCAGAATAATGCATTTAAAATTAAGACAATGTAGCAGATAAACTTGATATCTTGCCTCTAAAATTCTAACAAAGTCAGTAGCCTAGTGCTTAGTGCCCCATGTATGGAGGCTGTATTCATTGAAGGCCCGGTGTCAAGTCTGAAATGTGGCTCCTTTCCTGCATTCTCTCTCTCTCTCTCTCTCATCTCCCCAAAAATAAAGCTAGCAAGAGTGGACTATTACCTGAATGGAATATATGTTGAATTCCTTGACACCAGCAGACTGTAGGCATCCTCTGGCGACATGTTGAGATACATTACCTTTAAACACAAACATCTCATTAGACAGAGCCTCTTGTTTTCCATGCAGATTTAATTACATTAGGTTTAATTACAATTAGGTTTATGCACAACTTACTGCATATGAGCCGATTAGGTAGGCAGCATTGGCTTGTTTCTTCTGATCTCCACAGGTATAAAATATAATCTTCTTTCTTGAGAGTGTGATGGACTGTGAGAGACATCAGAGTTGCAAGTTATTCATTTGACTTGTAAAAATGCAGAACGTTACATCGGAAAGACAACAATGTTGAGTCCTCAATGGACAAGTACTTTCACTTATTTAAACTGGAATAAGGACTTTATTCCAAGGTGGCTGAGTACATGTCGGGTTCAAAGCTACTAAACAGAACTAGTGAACAAAAAACTCAAAGTTTCAGCTCACAACTTCAGCTGCCTAAATTTGTGCCAAAAAGTCTTAAGATGACAGCATGAGCTAAATACAGACACTGCCATGAGAAAAAAAAAACAAGATTTCCAGAGTTGAAAAGCCAGAATGATCAGCGACAAAAAAAGTACACTGTAAAAGCTTATAACTTTAAATGATTCGCATTTCAATAACTTCAAACCAAACGTTATGTTACCTACTTACTAAAGTCATTACTTTGCATTGACTGAACCTGGTGTGGTTTACCATTCTCTTTTACCAGGAAGTGCATTTAGGAGCAGAGGTTGACTTTACCTTGAGCTTCTTTGTCAGCTTGCAACAGAAGCGATAAAACATGGCCAGGTTAAGGGGACCAAAGTCCGCATAGAAGCTGAAAGAGAGAGGAAAAAAAAAAAAAAGAGTGTCAGTGACTATTTATGCATCAGCCGGGGTCTCTGGGGAAGTTTCACTGGGTAAATTCAGCTACATCAGACTGAAACTGTAAAAACACTGACAGAGTAATAACTAAATCTGGACGCATTTGATGCTGAAGGGGAAGGTCAGAAAAGGACTTCACGCTGCAAAGAGGAGATGTCTTTGACTCTAAAAGGTCAGCTACAGTATGTTGTGTCCTGCAGCCCACTGAAACAGACACGACCCTCTGCACTGTGAAACTGCAACATTGGCTGTAGCAAGGTGCGCTTTTTTAAAAATTATTATTATTATTATGTTTACTTTTACTGCTGTTGTTATCTTGGTTGCTTCCAACAGTAGAAATAACTTTTTGTAATTGCAAAAAGTCTTGCATGTTTTAACATCTGTCTGAATGTGCCTTGCAAATTATGCAATCAAAGTTAAGACTCCTTGCGATATTTAAATAACATCACGTTTGAGCATCTGCATTAAAGGTCGCTTTATATCTTTAAGATTGCAATGATTGCATAAGCTCCAGGCCACCTTACAGTATGTTTTGTGGAACCTCAAGAAGTGCAATATTAAGCAGAGTAATGACGAACACACTTTAAAAACAAGTATTTTCAAAATGCACAACTTACTTTTCATATGCCAGCTCCTCATCTATGCAGAAACAGTGTCTTTCGGCTGTGTTCTTGATCTTCTGCTTTAGTGTGGCGAAATATAACTGATCTGGAGGAGGGAGGAGGGGGTAGGGCGACAATACAGACAGTCAGTTGCTTGTTTTTGTCATGCATACACATTTCCTTTACCACTTAGCACCTCTTTGACTACAACTACTTTTAACGTACATTTTCTTGCACCTTACCTTTGACAAACTCAACACATCTTGACGAAACATCGTCCGCGGTCATCTTTCCCACAGTTTTAAACATGATGTTTAGCAGAGAAAACGTACGAGGCTTATTTTCTTCACGAGTCTAAGTGCATACTGAGTAAAACTTACAAAAAATAGAGAGTGATACGATTTTCAAAAAGTGAGTTAAGAGAAGAAAAAAAACCAGTAATTAAGAGTGCTAAAACGGTCCTTAAGGACTGCTTTTGGTCTTCGGGGCAAGAAAGTTGGCACTCGAAGAGGGAAGGAGAGTTTCCAGTGCAAGTGCGCACTCTGCTAAAAATGATCTACCACCTAACTCCTCCCCCAGTATTTTCGGGAAGACGCTATTGGCTGGCAGAGAAACAGGGCGCAACGTGATTGGAGGGAGGTCCCGCCCGTCAAGCTTCGCCGCGCCCTTTTCAGTTTAAAGTTCTCTACATAAGACACGTGATAGGCCCCGGGAACGTTGCCCAAGCGGTTGCTAGGACGATCTCTCAGCCAATCAAATCAGTGCTTTCCACTCGGACGAACCTCCCTCCCTCAGATTTGAGCTGCGTAGGGACAAGAACCAGGAAAACGACGTTAAAAATATGAAAAATTAGCCTAGAACGAGGACGAGAGTGGGCTGATGAGGGTATATAATAGATAGATACTTCACTTTATCTTTTTTTTTTTTTTTTTTAATACAAATACGTTTAACCCACTGACAACACATTGAACAAGATGGGGCAAACAAAGCAAAGTTCTGGTGTCATTTTCCTGCTTTTGGGGGGAAAACATCAAAACAAAACTGATTTGCAAAAAGGTGAAGGTAATTCACCCGCAAACCCAGTGCAATACCAGTAGGCCTACATAGCACATTTCTACGGTGTCGCAGTATTAAGACCCAAAACCACGAAAAAGCACAACACATTCATTTGACACTGGTCATGAAAAAAAAAAAGAAAAACCGCAGTTATGTGCCTGCGCAGCCTTCTGAGGTGCTTCTGCGCATATTTTGCAGCTGAGCCAAAAGTTGACAGGGTTCACACACTGCAGACCCACTTACCTGTTATCTCAATGTAAATATCGGAGTTTGGCGCCGCCTCCGAGCTGTTGTGAGTTGCACAGCGCCGTTTCCTCGACTCGGCTCGTCTCCTCTCGCTCTTGCGCTTCATTTTCTCCTCAGGGGCTGCACGGTGCACATTCCTGGACTGCTGCTGCAACAGACCTCCGCTGCTTCCCAGTGCTGCGGCTTGTCCCCCGTTTTCTTCCCGTGTTATTATGGCATGTCTTTTCTTCGGGCGCTGCTGATGGGTCTTCTGTGTTATATATGTGTCTGCCAAGGTACAGTTGTCTGCTCCAGCCTCTCTGGTGGTGGTGGTGGTGGTGGTGACGTCTATGAGCAGGGGCAGGTTTCTGCTTTCTGAATCCCCTGCATGTGACGTATCAGGATTAGATGTCCACTGCCCACCCTTCACCATTTAAGCGGCTCTATAGGCCTGGATAATATGATGGGGATGTAGTCCAAAGATTGGATGACCATGCATTACAGGGTTCATGTGGCGAGCATATAACAGAAGACAATATAGCAAAGGAATAGCAATATGTTTATTTACAGTACAATAAACAAGTGCATATTAAAGGAAGGTTTTTATGACAGCCAATGCTTTGCATGAAAGTGAACCAGTTGATTTTAATTGTTCATGAATATAATAACCAAACTGTCTTTTTAATTCAAACCTGGTAACTGAATTGCACAATATATGACATTGTATAGCGACTAATAGAAAAGGTAGAAAATGTAAAAAGGAGCTAGACAAATATTGTCTGTATTGCATTCATTCCCCTCTTACACACACAAACACACATCACTCCTGCTTTCAGAAAATACTCTATTGAAAAAAAAATACAAATCTGACCTCAATGACCACTTACAAGCTTTTTCCAGAGCTTTTCATAGTCTTATCAACACAAGGTTGCTCAGTACTCAGTCAGTCTAGTTATCTTTACTCGAGCTTTCAACTTCAACAAATTCAAATTCAACAATAAGTTATTAAAACCTCAAGTTAGTATAGTTTCCAATATCAAGACTGAACCTTTACACTCCACAAAGCCTTGAAAAGAGACCGGTGTATGCTGAAGCGCTTGTCTCTGAGAATGATGTGGCATCAGTTGACTTTCAGGCCACCAGCTGCCTACACATGGATAATATTTGGCTTATCACTGAAGTCCAGAGTCTGTTGAACTCCGGCGAGCTGCAGGAGCCAGTTAATGGGCATGTGGTCGAGGCGGTTTGTGTCAAAATGGGCGAAATGAACGCGAGAGCCTGCAAAGAGAGAGCAAAGTGTGAGGGAGAAAAAGTGAAAGAAAGGAAATGACATAGGAGGAGAGAGAAGAAGGGAAACTTACCTGGACCTGCAATAATGGCTCCTCCCTGCTGATGTAGGTCACCCTGGAGGTCAAATAGAGGGCTGGTCATGGCCCGCCATATACTCTTCATTTGTCCCATCAACAAACCAGACTTCACATGAGGACTAGGGTGGGCTAAGAAACATACACATACATACACACACCTTAAAACACTCTTCAGTGTTTACCTTTTAGAATATGATGAGTTGATATAAAGTCATACTCCTAGTGCATTACCTGAGTCTGTAAATGTCTCCTCTCTCTTCATGCCCAGCTTTTGATAAATGCACCTCGCTGGGTCCACATACATGTCATAAGGATACCCAGTTAGTGAGCAGAATGACTGGAAGTGATTGAAAACCAAATCAGCACATTATAGGAACAGGTGTATACGACTAAAAATGATGCATAAAGAATGAAAAACAGTACCTCTATATGAGTGTAAGCAGACTGACCTATTACAACCAGTCTTATATCTGCATCCTGCAACAAGGAAACATGACATTTTGTATCATTTACTGAGTGAGATCACACTTATACAAGCCATTACCAGGGTATTGTCACTGATTGTTGTGTCCAATTAGAAGTAGTGGAAGAAGCATTCAGATGATGACTTTTAGTAACTCTATACCAGACAGTATCCATACTCATAAGAAGTACTTATCTGGCATTTAAACATATTTAGAGGAATGTAATTATTATCAAAATAAACTTAAAGTATTAAAAGTTAAAGTATTCATGATGGGGCACTGGAGGCTGTGGTCCTCGAACTGGACGGCCCAGGTTCAAATACGACCTTAGGCCACTCTCTTTCTTTCCCAGATTTCTGACTCTATCCACACTGTACTGTCTAAATAAGGCATAAGAAGAAGCCAAAAACTAAACATTAAAACGTATTCATGATGCAGAGGAATTGTTGCTGCAGTGTTTCTACAATGATTGAAATACTTTTGGATGAATTCGACTGCTTCACCCATCTGTTTGTTTGAATTTTACAATCAAAGCCAAGTTGTTTCAATTAGCATCATTTTAACCCATCTTCACTGTGGTTTGAAAACCTGTGCACATACCATAACAACACTGTTTACTGGTATGCTAAATGTTTTCTAGTGTTTTTAGTTCATATGGCTCATCAGTGGGATTGATTTCCAATCCATAAATGAACACCTAATCCATTAGTTTATTAAAACAAAAAAGAACAATTAAACTAGTATCTTACTGATATAGTCTTTGTCATTTTCACCAGACAAGGTGTAGACATATGAAATATCTTAATTTGAATAGCTGTCAAAAATATGATGGAGTAAAAGGAACTTTTGCCACTGATAAGTAGTGTGCATAAAAGGAAAGTAGTCAAGGGAAGTAAAATAACTTTCAGATGTGTACTTAGCTGCATTATATAACTGTGAATGAGCAGATAATAATAATAATAATAATAATAATAATAATACATTTAATTTGTAACGCACTTAACATTTTTCCCAAAAATCTCAAAGTGCTAAATGCCATCATAGCCTCCAGTGCAGTCACATTCCTGTGTCAGGAGGACTTACCTCCAGGGCTTCTCTGGGGATTTTACTCAAATCCTCCACATATTCTTTGCAGCTGTAGCACAAAAAATTCTGCAGGGACATAGAGACAAAACATAATACGTGAACAATCATGTGGTTTTGTGACAAATTCATTTTCATTTTAAGCTCTAATTCATATTTAGCACCCTGCCTTCACCTAAAGACACGATCACTTCCATTCTTCCATTTTCCATCATAGTATGTGGAGCTCACCTGTTGCCTACTTTGGTGAGAGACTAAATCTACTCAAACTTGAGCAACTTGTAATAAGATGCAGCCTCATGATCAGTAAGGACTCATGATCAGCAAAGTTAAACCAAAGAAAGATGTTTCCCATACCCGGACGAAAATTATCACCGATTTCCTGTCTTGATATAATTTCTTGAACGGAATAGAGACTCCATGTCGGTCGTATAATAAACAGTCTTCCACGTCTTCAATGCGAATATCGATGGATGGAGTCCAAGTTTCCTGGTCTTCTTTAGTTACTTGTCGAGTTACTGGTGAAACAGTTTCAGCCATTTTTTTCCCGAGGCTTCCCGAAGTCGCGTTGCTATTTTAGGAGGTTGCGTTCAGGGTGGAGGAGCTGGTGGCTGGAAATTCACGCCCATGTGCTGTGTGTGTTTTGTGTATGTGGAGAGAGAGAGAGAGAGAGAGAGAGAGAGAGAGAGAGAGAGAGAGTGAAAGAGAGAGAGAGAGAGAGAGAGAGAGAGAGAGAGAGAGAGTGAAAGAGAGGGAGGCAGAGAGAGAGGCAGAGAGAGAGAGAGAGTGAAAGAGAGAGAGAGGCAGAGAGAGAGAGAGAGGCAGAGAGAGAGAAAGAGAGAGAGAGAGAGAGAGTGAAAGAGAGAGAGGCAGAGAGAGAGAGAGTGAAAGAGAGAGAGGCAGAGAGAGAGAGAGAGTGAAAGAGAGAGAGGCAGAGAGAGAGAGAGAGAGAGAGGCAGACAGAGAGAGAGAGAGAGAGGCAGAGAGACAGAGAAAGGCAGAGAGAGAGAGTGAAAGAGAGAGAGGCAGAGAGAGAGAGAGAGGCAGAGAGAGAGAGAGAGGCAGACAGAGAGAGAGAGAGGCAGAGAGGCAGAGAGAGAGAGAGAGAGAGGCAGAGAGGCAGAGAGAGAGGCAGGGGGATGCAGAAATGCCACTTTGGGCATCAGTGATATAAAAAGGTTGAACTATCTCGCAGTTTTTTTAAAATTATTTTCATATATTCGTTTAAATTACATTATCTAGTGTACGATAATATTCAGCTTTTACTTTATCTGCTTACATTTCATGTGCAATATGACTTAATATTTCTGTTTCATTTTCGGCTTGTATATTATTTTGAGAAGACGAACATTTGTTGTTAGAATGTAAAATAAATGTTAATGCAATTTTTTTCAAAAACAAAATGTTTGACCATGCACACACACACACACACACAGTACGCTTTCAATCCTCCCCAAAGGCTCCCCCAAAAAACAGCAGGCGAGCTCAATATAAGCAACCGTAACGAATTACGAATTACGAATCGCCCTCGTCGGCTTCCATCATTCTGCCCTCTCTGTGCGGAAGTGTTGTCCTCAAGAGCAGCAGCAGCAGCAGAGCTACAGCTGCCACTGTTTGGATAAACACAACGCCAGTTCAGCAGCAAGGCTTTTCTTGTGTGCCTTCCTTCTCCTTGTCGGGACTTGTCAGCGCTCATCTTGACCGTCCAAGCATCGCAGTATTATGCGAGCCCGGTCCGGAAGTGGTGAGACTTGGATGTTTTCATGTTTCTATTAAAGCTAACTTAGCATAGTGATGGAGCCAGCTAGCCTGTCAGGAAACTGTCAGGGTTCAGCAGTGTAACCGCGTCTCTTTGTTTTATCTCTACCTCATGTTGCAAATGTGTTTGTCAAGTTGATGCAAACATGTTGAATAATAACCTGTGGAGAGCTCAGTCATCACACACAAGCCTTCACGTTAACACTGCTGTGTGTGTGTGTGTGTGTGTGTGTGTAGCCTATGTGTGTGTGTGTGTGTAAACGAAACAAATGACCACCTGTTCACTGTTTACATCTTTTCATTCGGCTGCAAACATTGTTTCTTTTTTTACTAACTACACTGTAGTACGACAATATTACACATTATTTCCTGCTTTGTAAAGAAACTAGAGGTTTGACTTCACAACACAAACAGTACTAGTGAAAGTGTTTCCAAAGACAGATACACACATCTACACACATCTACACACATCTACACACATCTGCTCCTTTGTTGTGTGCTGTGCTGCACGTTTATTCAAAACCAGTGTTTACTAAGTGCTGTAAGACTGAGATATGATGTTTTCTAGTAATGTGTACTACATTGGGGGAGGAGTGTTGTGACACAGTTGGCTACCATCGGTCTATTTTCAGCACCACACACACACACACACACACACACACACACACACACACACACACACACACAACATGTCCTCAGCTGTTTCAGAACATATTATCCTGATTCTCCTTGACATTTTAGACAATAGGTGAACATTTCTGTCAGGTCTGTCCTATTGCTGCGTTTTCACGTTGTCATTAGAGCTGACTAGATCGCTGTCACGTTACTACTGTCTGTGCAGGTTGTGAAGGGGTTTCTTTTTGAAAACAAGTGCACCCTGCAGGACTTGTCTAAAGTGAAACGTGTGTGTGTAACTGTCTCTCAAACTCTGCCGTATGGATAAGCGCAGATACATTGAGATTTGCAGCTAAATGGCATGGAAGAGAGATGAGAAATACTGTGGTTTTGATTTATGGATGTGTTATAGCAAATATTGTTGTGCACTTCCTTTACTCTTTAATAATGATAATAATAATACGTTTATTTATAAAGCGCTTTAAATCAAAGTGCTGTACAAAGCAATACACTTAAAATGCAGGAAAAACATACAGAGAAATCATGACTCATACTCAACAGTAAACAGATGGGTCTTTAACTTTGCTTTAAAAAAAAAAACAGAGTGCATGTGCAGAGCTTAAACCGTTCCAAAGTGTCCGTGCACGGAAAGTAAAAAAAGCCCGCTCACCAACTGTCTTCTTTCTGACCTTTGGGACACTCAGAAGACCCGTCCCTGAGAACGCAGGGCTCGGGCAGGCACATATAGGGGGTTCACCAGGTCGGTAAGATACAATGGTGCGCTACCGTTTAATATCTTAAAAGTTAGCAGCAGCAGCAGCACCTTTAAAATGGCTCTGGCATGAATAGGGAGCCAATGAAGATGCAGGTCTCTTCTTATGAAGTGATTTTCCACTCAAAACTTACTCACACAATCCTTAGCAGATATTCTCCGGCCAAGATGGGCCCCATAACAATATATCAGTATCAGTGAATGTTGGAGGCAAATGATGTGTTTGTTCTGTGTCATGGTATTCTCCTTCTGGTTGTGTGTGTTGGCCCTCTACTGGACACTATGTGTAGCCTGGGCGAGTAGGCGGATGCTGTGTTTAAAGCAGGGCTCCAGGTGAGGTGGGACAGGTGATTGAATGGAGGCAAACAGTTTTTCTACCTTGTCAGCCTGTCGGAGTTAACGCATCCAAAGCGGATTTGTTTGTTTTATTCATGGACAGTGGTTCGTCATATTTTCCTTTTATTGATAAGAAGTGTTTAAAAATGAAATATCCAGATCACGACATCAATGGACTGTGTTAATTTCTTCGAGCTAAGCAGCGCACGTGTCGGAAAGCTTCCGCATTCATCCCTCAAGTGACTTTTCTAAACAAGATTTGGGTTTGTTAAAATTGGTCACTACAGTGAAAATGTTTCCATCACAGATAATTTTATCAAGGCCTGTGAAATACTACAATCTGACTAAACGTTTTCTCTGGTCTGGTTAAAATAATCTGTGAGTGATTGTTGTGGATTTAGCCTGATGACTTCTTTTGAATTGATACCATTTTATGATGGCAAAGTTCCTGTTAGACTTCTTGTGTCAGACTGTAAAACATCAATGTGTGCTACGTGTTTGGCTTGTTTCTTTTAAATGAATAACAATAGGGGTTTGAACAGTGTATTAAAATGCTTTGTTTCTGTATTGGTATCAAACCTTCAACATGCAGACAGAAACAAATTGTTCAGCAGTTTGTAACAATCTAAATAATTGCCTCCTCTTGTTCCAGAGTTTCCTTGAATCATCTATATGGGCCATCTTCTCTCGAAAAATGGTTACCGCCTGAAGAAGAGGACACGCAAGCTGCACCACAGGAAGAAGAAGAAGAGGAACTGTTTCCTGCAGCTGCCTTGCATGCTCTGCTTCATTGTCCACAGCAACAGCAGTGGTCTCGACGACGACAGCGACCATTTGGACGGCGTCAACGGCAGCGGGTGCCGCCACAGCAGCATCACAGGAATCAGTGTCCCCGGTGTGGGCGGAGTTGGAATCGGAGCAGCGGCCGCCTCAAAGCTTGCCGAGCGATACGCGACCCTCGCGTCTCCTGAGGACTGCTCCAAGTTTCTGCTGTCGCAACGGGAGCTGGCTATCTGGGAGGGCCAAGGGAGGAGTCTTTTATCAGCTGTTCCTGCCAAACTGATCCCACCACCGGCGCTGTTTCGAACTGCTGGGGTGTCTGTGACCGTGCCCGTGCCCATACCTGTACCTGTGCCTGTGTCTGGCTGCAACAGCAACAACACTGAGATGGTAGGGAGCTGGGGAGGGGCTGCATCAAATGTAACGCACAGTATCGATAATGAGCGTACAGCATGGACCCAAACCTGTGAAGGCCTTAACAGCTTTGACTTCCCAAGTGCTGCTGCATTCAGTCAATACTAAACATTCTAAGTTTACTACTTATTCAAGATGGGATTAAGACTTTTTTTTAATTGAATTATTGATCAGAGAAGGGTTGACCCAGAAGGGTTTGTCCTTCCTCAGATGAATGTTGTCATGTAGAATTTAATTCTATTTCAGACTAGAGAACATCTGACGCTTTACACCAGAGGTCAGGCAACATCTTAATGCTCATTACCCGAAAAGGTCATTTAAAACTATTGAGTGCCTAAAACTGAATGTAACCACCACAGTATATACCATGTTATAAAATAGAAAACGGGCTGCATTCTAATGCTTAAAAACTGGAAATAATGTGACCTAAAAGATCACGTGAATCTTAGAGGGATGTCTTATTTTTAAGGGACAATTCAGCAAAAAATCAATCTCATCTTAACTAGCACCACAGAATGCAGGAAACATTTGTTCATGGTGCCAAAATATTGGAACACATGGGGTCCATTAGAAATGTCTTACGGTACGTACATGCAGAGAAGTCCAAGTATTTGAAAGCTTAACATTTCATAGTGCGTTTTTGTGTTTTCAAGATATGATCAAAAACATGTAGGTGTCAAACTTTACACTCAAAGCATCCGATTTTTCAAACTGGATGATAAGTCGGTATTATTTAATTCTCACTAAGGATCCAAGGGTAGGGGTGTGTTTTTATTTGATGTTTCAGAATGTGGGTGGTGGAAGATTGTTCAAAAATACAATTTAATTTTCTTCACAGTTCAATATGTTTTGAGTTGTCTGAAGAAAGGCCGCTTCCCACTGGCTGATATTTGTGTGTGTCTCTGGGTACAGGTGTGTAAGAGGAAGTGCTCAGAGGTGCAGAGGTGCACCCCCTGTAAGCAGCCACGCTGCACCTTCGCTGCCCCTGACGGAGGGC